GTAATTTGGCTCTGAAAATTGGTGCCACAGGAACAGCTGAGAGCTGGCAAGGCCGGCGACCCCGCGGGTCAGCGTCTGTCAGTCCGCATTAAGATATGCAAAGCCGAGGCGCCCGCGCAGCCGCCGTCGCCTCTCGGCCCGGCGCGTAATTGGTGTCAACTGTTTGATTGCGATAATTGCTACTGTCTGGGGAGGTAGCTTCCAGGCCCCGGTGGGACAGAGCCCGCCACTCGCCCCCGAGGGCCCCCTAGACCCTGCCCTCTCCTGCCGACTGCTCGAGGAGACCCGCAGGCCCGGGACTCCGTTGGGACTCCCCGTTCCTCCCTCCCTTTCCCTGTGAGCAAGGGTGGAGTGGGGAGAAGCGAGAGGGTCTATCCGCCCCGACCCCACCCCCCACACCAACACAAACTACATCTTCTTTTGGAGGGAAGAGGAACGGGAGGGTTTAGGCCTGCATGTTTCAACTCGGGTCCCACATTTCTGATCCCATAATAGTCAAGATCACAGTAGTGGCCATTACCATGGCTGGACCTCACTAGAGCCTGTGGAATCAGTATTATTACCTCCTCCCTTAGAGATAGGAAACTGAGCTGCAGGGAGTTAGAGCATGGACCTGTTGAGAAGCAAGGCCAGGTAGGAAAGTTAAGCTCTCCCTAGAGCCCTACCCGCTTTCCCATTCCACAGAAGAGGAGGCCTGGCAGCCGGCTGCATTTGGGGATTTGTAGTGGATTCACAATTCACCCTGATTTTGGGGTGCTTGGGCCCATGGAGGCAGGGCCACTTGGGGGTAGCCATGCGATGCCTCCTGTCGTGTCTTAAGTTCTTGGAAAAGGAAAGTGGGCAACCAGGGCATCTCATGACCAAGCTGGGCTTCTAGAGCAGGATTTCTTAAACTTGGCCTGGATACATCTTTATTGTAGGGACTGTCCTGTGCATTATATGATATTTAACAGCATTCTTGGCCTGTACCCATTATATGCCGGTGGCACACCGACCCACCCCTTCCCCAGTTGTTATAACCAAAAATGCCTCCAGAAATTGCCAAGTGTCCCTGGTGAGGAGGGAGACAAACTGCTCCCAGTTAAGAATTGCTGGTCTCAACTGGGTCCCTGTAGGATCCAGAGCCAGGTGTCTCAAGTCTGGCAAGTAAGTCTAATTCAAAGAAAAATTTCCATATCAACTCGTATGCTAGACACAGAAATAAGTAAGTCAGGGTCAATGCCTTCAAGAGAAAACAATGGCAGGCTTAGAGACAGTTTTAGATGCCATGTCAGAAGCAGCACAGAATGTTAGGGGAGCCCTGAGCAGAACTCCTAAAGCAGTCTGGGAGTAGTCTAGGGGGGCTTCTCAGAGGAGGCAGTGCTTGAGCTAGAAGGATGACTAATAGATGTCCTTTACATTTAGTAAGTAACAATAACAGTCTTGACTAGAATGTATTGCTGTTTGCCTCTGTTTTGTTTTCTTAAGTTGCCTGTAATAGGAAGGGCTTGGAATGAAACTTTCTGGAACATGGGGCTGAAAATATGCAAACCCCAGTGGAGAACTGGGGTGTGGGGGAGTGTCTGCAGCAGGAGCAGGCAATGAAAAAGTTTGTTGTCTGTAGGGAATTTTTAAACAATAATAAAATCTACTAAAAGTCATGTGCTTTTTCTGTTATCACCATGCACCAGCCATTTTGTGTCAGTAATAAAATACTCCTCCCTGAAGTACAAAAAAAAAAAAAAAAAAAAAAAAGGCCGGGCACGGTGGCTCAAGCCTGTAATCCCAGCACTTTGGGAGGCCGAGACGGGTGGATCATGAGGTCAGGAGATCAAGACCATCCTGGCTAACACGGTGAAACCCCGTCTCTACTAAAAAATACAAAAAAACTAGCCGGGCGAGGTGGCGGGCGCCTGTAGTCCCAGCTACACAGGAGGCTGAGGCAGGAGAATGGCGTAAACCCGGGAGGCGGAGCTTGCAGTGAGCAAGCTGACACTGCAGTGTCACCTGGGCTGACAGAGCGAGACTCCGTCTCAAAAAAAAAAAAAAAAAAAAAAGTCTGTTGTACTATGTTCTAAGCAATTACTGCGGTGACTGTTGAGTTTCAAATTAGCACATTTCTGTTACTTATCCTTTAGTAAAGAGTGTACACTACCTGATAGTTAATTTGAAGAACTCTCATGTATATAGCCAGCCTAGAACACACAGGACTCAGCTACACTCTTCATTTTGAGATTAAGTTCAAATTCAAATTCATTAGAGCTAGCTTCAGCCACAGTTCGGGTCTCAAATCCTATAGTTCTACATGTCCCTCCCTTTAAACAGTAGATTCAAAATCAATAGTGATACACAGTGATTGCAAAGACAAAGTAACAGACTCAAGCTACTTCAATTCTGTTATTCTCCATGCAAATCATTCTCTGAGACTTGCAGAGTTTACTCTTTTGGGAGCCTTTTCTTTTGTTGTTTTGTTTTGTTTTTGTTTTTTTGAGACAGGATCTGGCTCTGTCACCCAGGATGGAATGCAGTGACACAATCTCGGCTCACGGCAACCTTGGGAGCCTTTCTTCATGTATTTCTTCCCCCCGCTCCCCACCCCCAAAATTAACATAATTTTCAAGTATTAATTGCTTTTGTCTTTTTGTACTGTAGTATTTGTTTATTTCCTGGTATGATTATATAGAGTTGAATAAAAGAACAGTTACGCTGTCTGACTTTTCAGGCCATTATTATTTATTTGTCATTTATTATCACGGTGATAATTTTATCATATGGGAGGTGTTAAAAATTATTTAGTAAGGGTGTCTAATACGTTAGGTACCCCACTGGTCTGAAAAAAATGCCAGATCCAGTGAATGCCCCATGAGGTCACCACTCCCTGGACCCTCGTGGCTGCTGGCTGGGGGCTGGCAGGCGGCCCAGTGGGCAATGTGAACCAACATTTCCCTCTCACATGCCTTCCCTAGGCTCCTTCCCTGCTAATTCCCTCCACAGCAACCACACCCCACCCACCCCCCATCCTTCTCTTCCCTGTCCTCTCAGCCCAGTCTCAGTTGTGACTGGGTAGGGAAGACTCTCAGAGGACCTAAGGTATGACCTCAGGGCTGGCATACTTCAATGTAGGCCACAGCCTCAGCAGGACCTGAGAACACATCCTGTTCAAGAGCCTCGGCATACTGGGGAAACTGAGGCCAAAGAGAGGCAACACCCAGCCTAAGGTCCCCTAGCCGGTTAGTGGGTCAGGGCAGAGCTGGAATTCATTACTTCTGGCCTGCAGGTCTGTGTCCTTTCATGACACCACTTAGCCCTAACCTAACAAGATGCGCTAATGGGAGAACTTGAGTCATCAGCGGCAGGCCTCCCTGGGTGTCCTTTCTGGCCAGGAGGGCTGTCCTTGGGCCCTTTTCTGGCTCCAGAGTAGCCAAACTCCCAGCCTTGGGTTGCTAATGGTGCTATTCTTGGCACAAAGGAAGAGGCTGATGGCAATTTTTTAATGCAATTGACTCATCAAAGACATTTTGACCCCTACTATGTGCCTAGACTTGCGCTATGCCCCAGAGACATAGAAATAAGTAAGTCACTGCCACTGGCTTCAAGAGAATAATCAAGGCATAAAGACAGGGTTTTCGATGTCACATCAGACTCAGCACAGAACGTTCAGGGTGCCCAGAAGAGAACTCCTAAAGCAGGCTGAGGGTAGTCTAAGAGGGCTTCCCAGAGGAGGCAGTGCTTGGGCTTGAAGGATAGCTAATAAAAGGCCGGCAAAAAGAAGTGGAAGTGTGGGTAGCTTCAGAAGAGGACATTACTCAGGGTGCCAGCTCCCCCTGGAACCTGTGGAGACCTAATCATGAAGGTGCCTTCTGCCAAGCCCTACCCTCCATCTCAGTCCACCTCAGAACTTACCTCTAAGCAACCCATTCGGGCTTCTCTGATGCCATTGGCCTCCTTGTGCATCCATCAGTAGGACTAGGCTCCTCTGCAGCTGGCTGTCCTCTGTTCCCTCTCTTAAGCCCCTGGGATCCCAACCCTTGTGTCTCTTCCTACCCATCCCCCAGCTTGGTCCAGGTTGGAGCCTTGAGCTCAGGTGGCCTTTCCCTCTTTCCATTCTCTCTTTTCATTCTCTCTTTCCTTTTCCTCTTTTTCTTCTCCTTCCTCCATCCTCAGCTTTGTCATTTTCTTTCTCCTTGTTCCCCTGTGTAAGCTGGGGGCAGGGCCAGGTGTGTGATGGAATTCTACTAGGTTCCAGGCGACCTATACCCGGAGGCATTGGCCTTTCCCTGGGGAGCTGGGATTAGCACCCAGCCAGACTCTTGGCCTAGAGCTGAGGTTGGAGGCAGGGAGTGAGGGGAGAAAGACAGTGTGATCCAGCATGGTAGGGCTGCCCCTATTTTTCAAGAAAAGGAGATCTGAGGACTCTTCAGGGCAAAGACCTGGGCTCTCAGCACCTGTGAGTTCTACTTCCAGGAAGCCCCCTTCCCTCTCCACTCCCCCCTTCCCAGTTCTGCTGCTGCTGAGGTGGCTCCTGCTCCCATTTCAACCAGCACCAGATCCATTAATAGCATCAATTTTATTTGCACCAGCCCCGGATCCTTCCCCGCTCCCCGGGGGCACCCGATCCAGAATGCCAGGCCCTGCTTCCTTTTCTCCTGGAACACGCTGACTCCCTCCCTTGGGCGCCGGGGGAGTTGGCAGGATAATAACCTGCGAGAGGAAAACTCTCTTCTCCCTGCTTTCTAATCTTCAGTGCTCACCAAATTAGAAAAGGCATCAGAAGCCCATCGGGCAGACTGCCGCAGGGATGTCATGCCATTAACCCCGGGCTGCCTCCTGCTGGTGTAGGCAGCTGGGGGAGGATGTTTCAGGCCCCCACAACCCTTTCCTGCCCCCTGCCTCTAAGCAGAAATGGAACCCACCCCCAGCTCAATTTCTCCATCACCCTACCCCTGCCCCCATCAATAGGCATGGACTCCCCTACCCCATCCTCCTCAGCCTCCCCATACCCCATCCCCAACCCTGTGAGTTGCAGGGATTTCAAGAATAGCCAGAAGGTCTCTGGACTCCTATCCAAGCCCTCATTTTATACATGAGAAGACTGAGGCCCATGGAAGGGATGTTTGTCATCCTGTTCCTCCTTTAAGAACTTGCTCAGCTGGTTCATTTGTCCATTCAGCAAAAGTTGACTGAACTCCTACTCTGAACACCAGGTCTCATTCTAGGCACTCGAAGTGCAGCAGGGGACAAAACAAAGTCCCACCCTCATGAAGTCCACAAGCTGCTCCTTCCAGGAGGCTGTCCCTCATCCCCTGAGGGTGGACTAGGTGTCCCCCACATGGGACCACAATTAGGAGTTTACTTGCCTCCCCCCTGGGCTGAGCACATACGGACAGCAGGGAGCCTGCCTTGTTCAACTCTATCCTCAGCCCCTGCTGCAGGGCCTGGGACATTTACATGTTCACTACATCTTTACTAAATAGTCACGACTTATACTCATGTAGCACTTACTATGTGTCAGCCGCCAAGTGCTAAGAGACATTATTATTATTCCTATTTTAAAGGAGAAAATGGAATCACAGAAAGGTGAAGTGACTTGTCCATGGTATCCACGCAGCAGGTGATTGGAACCCAGGGGGTCTGGCTCCAGAGTCAAAGACCTTAATTGCCTCACTGTGAAGAAACGAATGTCACCAATGATCCAAATGCTGGGCTTCTCTGTTCATCTCTTCTCAGGTCTCAGGGTTAGACAGTTCTTCCCCCTACCTTTCATGACTCTCTGCAACTGCAAATACCACCTCGTGCTTTGTTTTCCCACTTCCAAGGAGATGGAGCCTGCAGACAGTTCCTGGCCTCTGTCAGATCATCTCGCTCAGTCCAGGATATGCTGCATGCCCTCAACCCCAGAAATGGGGCTGATGTCCCTGGTGGTCCTCAGACACTCACTTCTATCTCCCTGTCTAAGTGTCCTGCTATTCCAAACCCCCACTCCACCCGCTTCAGAAAGCCTTGCTGTGCCCACAGTACCATTTGGATGAGAAACAGGTCTCTGCCACCCTGGGTACCACCCAGTGTGGCATAGCCTGGTTGCTCTCTCTAATGGCTTAGGGCTGGGCACATAGTAATTGTTGAGTACATGGCTGGCTGCTGGGCTGAATCTCCCTGGGTGATGTATGCAAAGCCAGGGAGGAATTCTAGTTCCAGCCCTGCTATAACTTGCTGTGTGGCCCAGGGCAAGTCGGCCCCTCTCTGAGCCTTTCTCTCTTCATGTACTTTGAGGGTTTGGACCGGATGGCCCCTGGGTTACTTTCCTCTGTAAAATTCTAGCTTTAATTGCAAATTGTGAAATCCAGCCTTCACAGGTCAGTGTCAAGCAGAATATCCTTCCCTGATCCTGGGTAAGGCTTGACTGCTGAGATAGGTAATAAAGTGAGAAGTGTCTGCAAAATGGCCCGGAGAGGGTACAGCATCTTGCGGGGGAGGAGGGACTGGGCAACCTCTAGAAAGGATCTTTCCATGAAGGCTGGGAGGTAGGAACGAGGAACGGGAATGACACTGAGCCGCCACCCTGTGCCAGGCCCTGCTGTGGGTAGCCTATATGTTGTCTCATATTCAGTGCTCACAGCCTCCCTGAAGTGAGTGCTCTCATCCCATTTTATAGATGAGGAAAGTAAGACTTCTCTCCAAGGTCACAAAGCATGCGCGTCTCTGAGGGAGAATCAGGGCACGTGTGTCTGACCCCAAATATTGGACTCTGCCCATGATACAGAGCTGTATCTCCCACCTGCCCTGGACCGCGTGTGCCTGGACCTGTGTCCTGTGTCCCATCCCTGTGCTGAACACCCAGGTGTGTACGTGGAGGTAGGGAGGGCGTGTGCAGGGGTATTGTATATACTAACACTATATCAATATCTGGATATATCTCACACTAGATCTGGAAAGTCACATCAGTGTGTGTGTGTGTGTGAGAGAGAGAGAGAATATACAAGTGAGATGAGGGGAAGACTGGGAAGCCACAGGGGAGAAAAAAGAATAGTTGAAAGGGCAGAGAGGGACAGAATTAATATGCAGAATAATGAAAGTGACAATAACAACAATAATAATAACAAGAATAACACAAACCTTGCCTTTTTTTTTTCCAAGCTGAATGTGAGCTCCAGCAGGACTGAGGGGATTAATCTCTTAAAAAATAAGTGCCGAGTGAGGAGACAGGCAGTGATTAAGGTTTTAACTGATCAGTCTGCATCTGACAGTGAACCAGCTATTATCTTAACGGAATCAAACGAACATTCAAAGCTGTGCTCAGCCCCAAACATGAAAGGAGATGTCATCTGCTGGCAGCTGGCAAGCCGCAGGGGGAGCTGAAGGGGAGAGAGGAATGGAGGGAGCGGAGGAGAGACAGAGAGAGAGAGTGACGGTGAGGGACATGGGAAGGTAGAGGAAAGGAGGGCATGACAGGCTCGTGCTGCTCTGTTCCCCCCACCCACCAGACACGCACACCATGCCCCAGTGCCCCCAGTACCCCCCACGACCAGATCACAGGTCCTAAAGCACAGGTCTGAGATTCAGTCACTCCCCTGCTCAGAAACCTTCATTGGCTCCCCACTTCCTAAAGGACAAAGACAGGACATGATGAAGGCAGGGACCCAAGGGAGGAGGCTGTGAGGCTCAGGCTGGAATCTTGTTTCCTGGGGTGCCTCGACCAGGACCCCTGCTCCTCTCTCTCCCCCAGCTCCAGCACAATGAAGCCTCAGTAAGCTGTTCCTTAATGAATAAAGGAAATGGGATAAGGAAATAGAAACAAGAAGAAAAACAGAGAGAGGTGCTTTGGCCGGGCATTTAGACTATTTTTCCCGTGTGATTCTCCCAGCCTCCAAAATGAAGGTTATTCCAGTCTTTGTCAGAGAGGTGGAGCAGCTTGCTGCAGATCCCACAGCTTGGAAGAGGCAGGACTGGGATTTGAACCCAGGCTTCTCTGACTCCAGTTTCTCTGCTTTTCTCACCAAAAATAAAGTGGGACAGAAGAGCAGAGACAACAGGGAAGAGAAGGGGCAAACCAGAAAAGAGCACCGAGGGAGCTCGTTATTCTGGTACTTTATCCCTGGACATCAAGCCAGAGATGTCTCTTCCCGTCCAACTCTTCCAAAGCAAAGGCACTGGGTGAGAGGGACTCTACAATGAGCCTGTCCCTGGGGCCCTGGCCCCTGGGCCTGGACCAGCACCTACAGCATTCGGTATTTGTTGGAGGAGGGAAGGAGGGAGGGTGTGGTCCCATGGCAAGTCCCAGCAGGGGTGGAACAGAGAATGTTACCTGGTCTGTGGCCACCCCACCCCTCTCCAGGACCCTCAGACAGAGGAATACCCAGCCCCAAGGCCGTGTGTGAGCGTGTGAGCTTGGGGGAGAGAGAAAGGAAAAGGCAGTGGAAAAGGAAAGATTTAGAAAGGGAGGGAAAAAAAGGAACATATCTGGGAAATTTAAAAAGTTGACTCACATACAAGGGCCCTGTGGCAATGTATTTGTTAATGTTGAACTGACCCTCTAACCCCACTTCCCCTCTCTTACTGTCTCTCTCACCCACTTGAGGAGACAGCTGTTCCTCAGAGAAAATAGACATATGGTCCTCCGTCTTTCCTCTTTGTCACACACTCTCAGCCTCTCGGCCTCTCTCTCGCTCTCTCTCTCTCTCTCTCTCACACACACACACACACACACACACAGCCAGTGCTGGGTCCCTGCTCACAATCTGCCACTCCGGGCCAGTAGCCCAGCTTGGGCCACAGCCAGACTCCCAGAATTGCTCCTTTTGGTCCAGGTAAGACCAGGCAGGATCCAGTCCAGGCTCTGGGTGTGGAGCTAGCCCTGTACTTCCCTGGTGCCTTGCCCCTCCCTGAATGCAGACTTCAAGGCTTGCCCAGAAGGGTGGAAGTCAGGGCAGAAGCCAGTAGCCAGCCATGGTGGGTTAGACGGGCAGGAGGCAGGGGCTCCCCTAGAGCTTGTGATAATTCCCTCTCCAGGCTGCCAGTCCCTGTACTTTCCCTCTTCCTCCATCCTGGTTCAGGACATCCCCATTCATGGCTGAATTGTGACAACAACCTCCTAAACCGTCTCCCTGTCTTTAACACACACGCACACCACTACCAGGAGTCTCTTTCTAAGACACAGCCCAGATGGCATCCTTCCCTTGTCAGAAACCAACAATAGCTTCCCTTTGCCTGTAAGGACCAAGTCCAGATTGCTAAAGCTGGACTCAAAGTCTCCCACAGTCTGCCCCTCACTCTCCTCTCTACATTTGCTCCTGCTACCCCTACCATCCTCTACCACCATCACCCCTGCCACCCCCTAGAAACATCTCCTCCTGTGCAAAGTGGCTCTCACTCTGTCCCTGAGCATGACACGTCCGTCTTCCTACTTTACACATGCAGTCACTGTTTTTATCCATCTGGAGGCCTCTGTTTCTTCCCTCCACCTAATCTCTCTTTAGGGGTTTTGAGGTTAACTCAACTTTGTTGAGTACTTAACATACGTCCAGCGTTGTTCTAGTCCCTTTATAGGAAATAAATAATTTACTCTTCACTTGAGCCCTATAAGATAGATTTTACAGAAAGGAAACTGAGGCAAAGAGATGCAAAGCAACTTGCTAAAATCACATAGGCACATCCAGAAAGTGGCAAAACTAAGATTTGAAAACTTATCAAACCTTAGGAGGCTGGCTTCAAAATCTACACTTTTAACTATTGCACTACTCTGCCCCTCAAGGGCACCCTCTTCCTCCTTAAAGCCTTCACTGGTCACCCAGCCCCCATATCCAATCTTTTTGTCCTCCACCTTCCTCAAATATATGTTATCTGTACCTCTCATGGGCTCCTTAATTACACAATGCCTTGAATTAGTACTTTGATCTCTCTGTGTGTTAATTTTATCTCATGAACTAGATTATTTATTATCAAGAGTATAAACTTATAAACTGTGTTTGCCATTACTCTTGTAACCCCACCATCACCACCAGTTACCTAGCACACTGCTAGGCATATGGGTTAGAAATAAAAATAGCACCAGTTAACATGTGAGTGCTTACTAGGTGCCAGGTACTGTTCTAAGTACTTTCCATGGATTGATGTACTTATTCCTCACAGATGAGAAAATAAGAAGGATTAAGTAGGCCAGGTGTGGTGACTCACACCTGTAATCCCAGCACTTTGGGAGGCCAAGGCAGGCAGATCACAAGGTCAGGAGATCGAGATCATCCTGGCTAACACAGTGAAACCCCGTCTCTACTAAAAATACAAAAAAATTAGCCGGGCGTGCTGGCGGGTGCCTGTAGTCCCAGCTACTTAGGAGGCTGAGGCAGGAGAATGGTGTGAACCCGGGAGGTGGAGCTTGCTGTGAGCCAAGATCGTGCCACTGCACTATAGGCTGGGCGACAGAGCCAGACTCCATCTCAAAAAAAAAAAAAAAAAGATTAAGTAATTTTCTTGTTCATGGTCACACAGACTGTGGTAAGTTAAAGATTACTACAAATTATTGGTCATTCCCCCACTGAGAGGTGAAGTTTATTTCCCTTTCCCTTGACTCTTTCACTAATACAATGTTGCAGATGTGAGGCTATGCCACTTCTGGCCTAAGCCCTAAATCAACGTGGAAGCTTCCACTTTTGTGCATCTTGGAGCTCTGA